GATTTTTATATGGTAAGCTTTCCTAGATGCCATTTTTTTTGTCTCTGTCTGAGGTTGTGGGGATTAGATACGGATATGTTTGCAAGGCAATCTGAAAGAGTAAAGAGGATTCACCACATTTGAATGCCTGCACATTTAGAACTCCAAGTTCCATGCATGCTGTTTAATGCTACTGCCCAGTATTTTCCTCTAGTGTGGAACTAGAGCAGCTGTGGCCCTCCAGACCTAGTTGACCTGCTGTTCCTATCAGCTCCCACTAAGCTGGCCAGCAGTTAAAGTTGATGGGAGTAATAGTACATTGACATCTGGAGGGCTACATGTCCCTCCACTTGTACTTAATTATTGTATCTTGAAACCTTGGTGCTTGGTTAATGGTGATAATGGAGAGAATGGATGGGGGGGGTCTTTGGCCTGCAATGTTTTGGACAACATTGGCAGTCCTGTTAGCCATGGTGGGTGGGCCTGATTGGAGTTGTAGGCGTAGAAGGAGGAGGAGGAGGAGGAGAAATGTATTGTCAATTCTGACATGGCAACCCATTCCAGGGTTTTCTATTTAGAGATTATCCAGAAGTGGTTTACCATTCCCTTCTCCATGGGCCACCCTGGGACTGTGCAGCTTGCCCATGGCTACCCAGGCTGGCCCAGAAGGCACAGTGCAGATACCAAAAACCACTGAGCTTTCCAACCAATTGATTATATTTTATTCAACTATAATCATATGTTGCTAAACAGTGGGGGTAAAAAAGGAGATTAGGAAGAAACTCACTTTAGCCAGTATGATCCAGCATATGTATAAAACAATCTGCAAACAACTCCCTTGTATGAAGCTTACATTCGTTTTCACATTAATAAAGACATTAATTTCTAAAGGAAGGAACATGCAGCTCACAACATCCAAGTAAAATGAGCAAAGACATGGAATCGTTGTGGGTCCAAGCCTTTTTGAAAGGGCTTTACAGTCCATAAAAGTGCCACCAGTCCAAGGCTCTTTTGTCACTGTGCTTCTGCTCTACCTAAAAAATAGAGGATGTAGCTGAAAGCTCATAGTAAATATGTACAGTGAACATCAGGAATGAGCAAACGTCTGGAGCCATTTTCCCTAGACCTGTCATGGGCTTTGGCAGCCGCTCACAACAAAACATGAAGTCCATTTAAATCCTGTTTTTCAACAAACAAGAAAGCCCCCTCCTTCTGACCAGGAGCAGCAATCTGTTTTTCCTCCTTACAAAGATGTAGGGACCACATAGAATGGTTGAGGATGGGGCATGATTTCCACTACTAGTATATATGGTTGGTTATTCCAACAGGTTACACCTGTAATTTTCATGCTTCCTTAGATGAGCATCGCATCAGGAAGGTGGAGACAGCTCAAGAAATGTTGTTGCTAGAATTGAAGGACACGATGGCACCTCTTTCCTAATTCATGTATAGAAGCTGACTGTAAAGGCAGTTAAATTATACATCAAGTACTGTATATTGATGTCTTCAAATGCCTTTGTGCAACACACTAAGGGTATGAACGGAAAGCCCAATTATCCTAGCCTTTATTGGTCTAGATTGTACTAAACAGGGTCACTTCAAAGTGTATTATTCTGTCTGGAGCAACCTTGCATTGTGTTTTGCAACCTGGGGGGTCATGTCCCCCAGGGGATGGCAAAGTGTTTTCTGGAGTGTTGTGGGTCACCATACTCTATATCAGAGCAGGATATTGAAGTTAGTGTGTATGTGTATAGATGAGAAATATGCCCTTTGTGGGGCTTTCTGAGATTTGACTTTACTACTCCATTAAAACTGCCTTTTAATGCAAAGGTGGTGGATGTTGCAGGTTACTAGGCTATTTTAAAAAGGAGTCACTACTCAAAAACATTGGCAACCACTGCTTTAAAGGGGGGAAAATCCCCCCCCCGTCTTCTCCTCCATGCCTTGCCTAAGTCACTTAACACTCTTGAGAAATGGGAAACATCCTTTCTGCTCACCAATAGAGTAAAATGGAAAGCATTCCGGTTGTTTTTAATTATTGCTAACCAACACAGTGCTGCCTGACTGTTAATGATTGTTTTAAATATAAGATATGATTATAATAATGCCTATTTTTAATGCTTATAATGTTTTTAAAGTTTTAATATTGTTGTGTACTACTCAGAGACCACTGATTGAAAACAATCATTAAAACATTAATATTAATTCAACCCTGAGTGCTCACTGGAAGGACATATCCTTAAGCTGAGGCTCCAGTACTTTGGCCATCTCATGAGAAGAGAAGACTCTCTGGAAAAGACCCTGATGTTAGGAAAGTGTGAAGGCAGGAGGAGAAGGGGACGACAGAGGATGAGATGGTTGGACAGTGTCACAGAAGCTACCAACATGAATTTGACCCAATTCCGGGAGGCAGTGGAAGACAGGCGGGGCTGGCATGCTCTGGTCCATGGGGTCACGAAGAGTCGGGCATGACTTAACGACTAAACAACAACAACAACACAGTGCATCAGTAATGCTTTGAAATGGCTTTTTAAACAATAATTAAAAAGAAATGGAACACTTCATCTCCCTTCCCCTTTGCACGCAAATAGCTTGGAAGCTTCCCATTTCTCAAGATCATTAAGTGGCTTCAGCAAAGGGACAGCCAGGCAGCTACTTTGGTTCGATCCCAGCAACCACACACACTAGAACCAAATCAACATAGAGCTATCCTAACCACAAAACAAAACACTGGTAGTCCAGGATAGGGACCCAAAAATGTGTAGGTAGGCATCAATCATGGTGGGTTAGTTCATGATATGTATGTCATGTGGTCAGTGGAAACAGGAGTCAACCAGCCCATCCCCAACCCCAACCCAGACCAAACTGTGGGCCAAATGCCCATCTGATCACGCCCTAAGTTAGGGACTCAGGAAGGGTACAGCTCTGTTCTCTAATCACATCAAACAGATGGAAGATTATCACTGCTGTTACCTTACGTCTATTAATGGTAGGGCCAGTCCTGCATGAATGTAATACTCATGTTATTGTAAAGATGGGTTAGCTATTCTGATGGTTAAGAACAACTTATAATTAAATATTGTTCAGTCATACAGATTTCTCTCTCACTGAAGTCCACAGGATTTAAAAATATCTAACTGTAGCTGGATTATGCCTAGGATAGTTTTGTTACAGGTTGACCTCTTTTTATCAGATTATATGGTATGTGATGGTTGGATCCCAAGGGCTGTGAACTGGGGCTCATGCTGCAGCCCAATCAATGCAAAATGTTTTTAATGTGAAATTAAAAACTTACTCCTCAGGTAGTTTGGAGCTCACCTGAGGTCTATTACACCTCTTGGACAATCCTCCTCCTCCCAGGTTCTACCCCTTCCCCAATAATAGAAAGCCTTCAGGTGGTTGATCTTTGGCTTGTCATTTGGCACAGTGGTCCTAGGGATTGTGGAACATTGCTCCAGGGACTGCCAATGTACGGGCACCTCCATCTCAGCCAAAGAGGTTGAGAGGTCTCAAGACCTACAGGTTCAGGAGTTCTCGGTTCTCCAGATATGCACAGCCCTGGTGTCTCCTCACTGGTTCCTCAGCCTCTGATCCCATGTTCAAGTTATGGGTTATGAAAGAAATCTGTGCTAAATTCTTCTAATTTATTTCTGCAGTCCTTGGAGTTCTCCCAAGCAGTCTCACACCTCAGGATGTGAGAAACTCAATCTCAGTTTTGTTGCACTTCTCTCAGTTCTCTATGTGATATTATCCCTTATGAGACTCTATTTCTTCTTCCTGAATTGATATTTGTATTTGTTTTCTATGTGTATGCCGTTTTGTATAGTTTCCCCACTGACTGACACATGTTAGTATAACACTTTTCCTACTGAATAAAATATTGTGTTGTCTCAGTAGGAAGATTTGAAAATCTCAGCTGTAAATCCACCCATCCATTTATCCATCTACCTCAGTTATAGCTCCTGCTTGTGTGGTATATGTAGTGCTGTTTTGGCCCCCAAAGCAACATTGTTCTGAGTAAGGATTATAAAATGAGAAAATGGGCTGATCCACTGGGCCAACCCTATAAATATTTTAAGATGGTAGTAATGTATATACTAACTGTGCTGTATGTACATATCTGATAAGTGGATGGAAATTTTACTGAGCAAAATTAAAAAGAACAGTACAATCTTTCATTTCTTTAGAGTTAATTTTTAAGGTTGACCCAAAGAATAGCTAAAATAGAGTATATGAACACACTGAGTTAATTGTGCTTAGAACATTTATTTATAAAGCACATTTATACAGCAATATTTTTGCAAATACAAATTTTAATTCTGTACTCTACAAAACGTCTTGCATATTCCTCTTTTTACAAAAAAAGAAACATTACAAAAATACAGACAATTTAATATGATTTTTATACAATTGCCTTTAGTTGTTATTTTCATTAAAATATTGCTACCACAGAACTACAATATTTTAGTCGACTATAAAAAAATTAAGTCAATGCTTTTTTTTAAGCAGCAACATGTAAATAACACAGGTCAAAACACAGTTTATAATCATAGTGGATATATCTAAAATTGTTTCAGAAATAATATTTTACATAGTTAATTTTTAATGTTTTA